TAGCAAGATAGTACTACTGAAGTGCACACAACACAAATCACATCCTTTAAATAAAACATAGGCCATATCTAATCGAACTAGGATGTCACAGACACCCCCTCAAAAGACCTGACGTACCCATCGGTCCAACATATGTATAGATAAATTGAATGCCCAGAAACATGTCCCCTCTTTGCACGTCTGTACGTCCAGTGATCGAAACTAACTTTCAAAACAATCCCAAACAAATTATTGATATACACATATTTAGAAGAGAAAAAATATTTTTTTAAAAAAAAATCATATACATAAACATTCGTAACAAAATTTCAAACACCACTAAATAAGATGCCCGCGCTGATGCGCTACCTTCCTAGTTCTTTAAACATCAGTGACGTAGTCGTGCATAGTTGTTGAGATACTAAAACAACCTCTCCCCCAACTCGCTTTCCTTTGCCTTCCTGATCTCTCTCTCTCTCTCTCATTTTTAAATTTTGTTTTTCTTTTGTTCGTTTAGCCACATGCAGGCTCGATCACGCTCTGCAATTTAGTCCTAGGAACCGTGCCATGAAGAATTTCTTTTATGCTCACCCAAACGGAAGTACATCAGTATTCTCTCCGTCCAGAAAAAATATATATAAGTATGTGAAGCATATTTTAAGTTTATCTATAAATTTAAGCATTTCCGTCCACAAGTATGATGCTTTGTAATGTTGTACAACGTCCTTGTAAGGTACTGTCCTTTCAATGATAGAGACAGATATTGTAAAAGATTGGATCACGTATTCGTAATTTTCTTTCCAATTGCAACACTTGTTAACCGCGGAGGTCTTCTCTACTGTGTTCTGTTTAATAAGATATGGGTGGTCTACTTTGAGCTTGCCACAATGAGGGCAGACATTATTTTTCACACTTAATTTAGTGTTGGACTTTTGAATATAGATTAATATATGTTATCCTAGATGATGTTACCAAATTGTTTTACAGTAATTTTTTCTCTAACTATTTCACCCACGTACCAATAACGGGTGCGGCTCTACTCAGTGTAAAATTACTGTGTCGGCAGTGAGAGGCGTTGGCCATACTGAAGGTGACACGGAGGAGGTGGATGCTTTCAATGACTTGTTCAGTTGCTCATTGTCAAGCTGCAATTACTGCGGAGCATGAAGTGACCGGAAAAATCCAGATGAGAAATTAGAGCTGCATATGCAACAACTGCTTGGCCATCAATTTCTTTGTTATTATCCCCCAGTTGCAGTATGAGTTTGTTATGTAACTATGAGTTGTTCTTCGATAGCGTAAGGTGTTTTGGGCGTTTGTTGTGTTGCACTCTTGTGGCTCAAACTTGAGCTCAAACAGTGCCATTTAGATAACTTTTGTTTCAAGCTATTAATGAAGCTCGAATTTTAAGGCTTTTTTTGTTTCCAATGTGTTTGGCCCTAGAAGATTGATAGAAAAAATCGCTCGTTTTTCACGCGCACGTTTTCCGATCTACTAAACGGTGCGTTTTTTAAAAAAATTATATCAGAGTTGCTTAAAAATTTATATTGATCGAGTGTTAAATTTTTAAAAAATTAATCATACGTTAATAATTTATCTCGTTTTGTATATCTTCTTAATCTTCACTAAACTTCCCCTCTCAAACTGTCAGGTACAGGGAAAAATGTTGATGCGCACAACTTTAATGAAAAGGCTAACAGGCGATCGATCGCCTGGAGCGATCAAACCCCCTCCTCCACGTGGTTTCTTTTTTTGGCATCGCATTACTTTCCTATTTTAGTAAACTAGGAAGATAGCCCACGTATTCGCGCGGGCATGTGTCGTACGCTATGTTTGAACATCTACAATATATGATTTCTCCATAAATTGTTTTCATTAGCATTGCTTTTATAATTGTCTAACCAAACTATTAGTTATCTTTATAACATATCATATTTAATTAATCCCTACAAGCAAATATTTATAATATTCTTCATCATCTACTAAGTAGGTAGACATATTTTGTGTTAGAAAACATGTATAGAAAATTATGTGTAAAATCAAAAGTAAGATGTTTTTTTAATTGAATATAGGTTGTCATTGTTTATTGATGGATGAATTGGGTGGGATATGAGGCTCCACTAAATGCATGGGTTTATATTATTGTTTAATTTGAGAAAGAATCCATATGCGAACGTTCCATGTAGAGAGTGTGTGAGACTCCATGCAACCTAGCGCAAATAATATTGGATGAAGAAATATGGTTGTGCAATATATTATTTTGGAAGATGATGTATTATGAATTCACGCTTGTCTTTTAAGATGAGATAGAACTAATGGTTGGAAATAATGGGCGTATCGGTTTAAAAGGCCTAGGAGGATTTATGGGGTAATAGGTGGCGACTTTATGTAAAAAAGAAACCATAATCTAAAATCGATTACATGATATATAAAATAAAATTATCAGTGTAGCTTAAAATTATGCTCTTTTTAATATTTGTTTCTCTCTTTAGTTTTGTAGCTGAAAATAGGGAGGAGACTGGAGAGAAACGAATAGCGTAGAACTCAAATTAGATATTAGAAAGGGTTCACAATGCAATAGTGTTATGTGCATATGATTGGACAGGGAGGGGAAGTGGACGGTACATTGTTTTTTTAAAAAGAAAATCTTTGTAAACAATCTAAGTGCGAACCTATGATTTATTGTTTTCTCATTCTAAGGATCTTTAAGACATGACATGTGGTGGCTTAAAGTTTTTTTTATAAAGAGAAAAGCAATCTAATAGTTAAAAATAATGGGACATCAAATTAAGTGAAAACCGATGGATAGATATATAATTTATTTTCTCTTTGAATTTCAAATTTTTAAAATATCATACGTGGTGACTTGAGAGTGCTATAGAGCACGTTTAATCGATCTTTACTATGTAAAACGATTCAAGAATATATAATATATGTTTTCATGTTTTTCAATGTTTCATTGTTATTTGGTAAGGATATTTTGTTTTTATTGAGGTATATTTAATGCGTTCATCAGTTTGAAATATTTATGTCTTTAAATCTAATTGTTAAACTTATAACTCGACTGATTTGAATGAAAATTGATGAAATTATAAGTCTGCCAATTTAATTAAAAATTGATGGTTAGATTTGTTTTCTTCATAATATTTTTATAATTAAAATTATTATTTATAAAATAGGAAGATGAGAGAAAGAATTATTGGAGACGGAAAAAGTGTATGTATGTATACGTACGTGCATGGGGTAGTGGGAAGGGTGGGCCAGTGGGGAGAGGAGAGTTGTGCTGGTGGGATAGAGCCGAGGGATGTGGATATTGGTTTTTTTAAGAAAAAAAAGATAAATCTAATAGTTGAAAATATATGGTTCACTGATTTATTATAATACCACGTGGCAGTTTAGTAATGTTTATATGCGTAGCATGTGGTAGTATAGGTGTGTTTGTATGAAGTTTAATGAACATCTAAATATATATATATTTAAATGGTAATTAGGATGACATGCCCTAGAAATTATTTTTTTCCGTAGAAGTTTACCACGGTTGAATCATTAATTTTTTTAAAGGCACCATGGATCTAAATTTAGATGTGTTCGCAAATTTGCTGATTATTTAGGGTGCTTGTTGTTTAGCCAGTAAAAGATAAAACTAGTAGAGCTTAGGAGGATGAAAACACGTGCATGCACACCCTCATTTGTAGACCTAATGCTCATTGCATTGATAATCCTAGCAAGAATAGGTTAGCCTATTTGGTTAACCAAATTAAAGCAAGCAGCACGCACGTTGAAAACCTATTCAATATTTTGATTTCTCTTCATCGTTGTGGTTTGTTATATAACTTACTAACAATTAACAATTATGGTCACTTAAGTTTTTATATGGGGTTGGTAGCTATAAAATAGGAAATTCACGTACATACCACTGAGGGAGGAATACATATATAGAGAGAGGAGATTTCTTTTATTGGAAACAGATAATTAAGATATATCTAATGGTTAGAAATAATAGGTTCACCGGTTTATAAGTTATAATGGATGGTCAGATATTTTTTTCTTTTTTCTCATAATTTTTAAGATTTTTCTAATTTATTAGAGTGCCACGCGATGGTTTAGGAGAGTATATAGGGTGTCACATGATGACTTAAGTGTGTTCGTAGGAAGTTTAATGAACTTGTGATAGAATACAACTCGGAATAACATATATTTTTACAACTATTGGCTGAAATTATTAATTTGGTTTTTATCTCATGAGAGTGAAAAAAAAAGAAAAAAAAGAAAGGAAGGGAAGGGGCCACGAACGAAGTATGCACGTACATGCACGTACACGTACGGGATGGATCGACGTAGAACGTGGTGCTTTCTAAATATAATTCTATTTGGTATTTTTTTAGTTAGATCTAACGGTTAAAAAATATAGGTTCACCAGATTAAATGAAAATCAAATATTTTTATTTTTTCTTGGACTTTCTCTAATTTATTAGAGCGCCACTTGGCGGCCTAGGAACATTTGTAGAAATGCCATGTGGCGGCTTAGTAACGTTTGTAGGAAGTTTAATGGACTTTTAGTATATATATAATATAATAATAGATAGATTGATAGATAGATAGATTTATGCAGCTCAAGTTTACACATATAAAGTTTAGAGATCCAAAGTTTATAAGTCAACAAGTTTATATATTCGATTCAACTTTGAATTTGAATTCAAATATTTTTTAATATAGTATTTCTGTACTAATGTTTATAAACCTAAAGTTTATAGACCCAAAGTTTATAAGTCAAAAGTTTACATGCCCGATTCAAATTTTAATTTGAATTCAAATATTAATTTATAGACCCAATGTTTATAAGTTAAAAGTTTACATATTCGTTTTAAATTTGAATTTGAATTCAAATATTTTTTACATATAGTATTTCTATACATAATTTTTTTAACTTTATTTTTATTTTTTTAAAATTTATGGTGTAGTAGGAAGAGAAGAAGGGGAGAAGAAAGGGGATGAGCGTATAGGGGGACAAGGGGTGATCGCTCCAAGCGATCCATCTCTCCTTAGCCACACCCCAACTTTAACACGTCTCAGTTGACTATAAAACAGACTCCAATGTAATCTCCCCATTACCAGACGAACAGCTAGCGATCTCTCTTTCTCTGCTGCAAACTAATTAACGGGCATAGAATGGCATCGGCGATGGGCGCCACCGGCGACAAGCCGCCGCACGCCGTGTGCGTGCCGTACCCGTCGCAGGGTGACATCACGCCGACGCTGCACCTCGCCAAGCTGCTCCACGCCCGGGGCTTCCACGTCACCTTCGTCAACACCGAGTTCAACCACCGCCGCCTCCTCGCCTCCCGTGGCGCCGCCGCGCTCGACGGCGTGCCGGGCTTCGTCTTCGCCGCCATCCCCGACGGGCTACCGGCGATGTCTGGCGAGGACGAGGACGCCACGCAGGACATCCCCGCGCTGTGCCAGTCCACCATGACGAACTGCCTCGGCCACCTCCTTGCGCTGCTGTCGAGGCTCAATGAGCCGGCGTCGGGGTCGCCGCCGGTCACCTGCCTCGTCGCCGACGGCCTCATGTCGTTCGCGTACGACGCCGCCAGGGTGATCGGCGTGCCGTGCGCCGCGCTGTGGACGGCCAGCGCCTGCGGCTTCGTGGGGTGTCGCCTCTACCGCGAGCTCATCGACCGTGGCCTGGTGCCGCTCCGGGACGCGGCGCAGCTCACCGACGGGTACCTCGACACGGTGGTCGACGGCGCCGCCGCCCGCGGCATGTGCGACGGCGTCCAGCTGCGCGACTACCCCAGCTTCATCCGCACCACGGACCTCGGCGACGTGATGCTCAACTTCATCATGCGCGAGGCCGAGCGGCTGTCCCTCCCCGACGCCGTCATCCTCAACACCTTCGACGACCTCGAGCGGCCGGCGCTGGACGCCATGCGCGCCGTCCTCCCGCCGCCGGTCTACGCCGTCGGCCCGCTCCACCTCCACGTCCGCCGCGCCGTCCCCACCGGAAGCCCGCTGCACGGCGTGGGTTCCAACCTCTGGAAGGAGCAGGACGGCCTCCTCGAGTGGCTCGACGGCCACCGGCCCAGCTCCGTCGTGTACGTGAGCTACGGCAGCATCGCGGTGATGACGAGCGAGCAGCTGCTGGAGTTCGCGTGGGGGCTCGCCGACAGCGGCTACGCCTTCGTGTGGGTCGTCCGCCCAGACCTCGTCAAGGGGGGAGAGGGCGACGCCGCCGCGCTGCCGCCGGAGTTCCACGCCGCCGTCGAGGGCCGTGGCGTCCTCCCGGCGTGGTGCCCGCAGGAGAAGGTCCTCGAGCACGACGCCGTGGGCGTGTTCCTGACGCACTCCGGGTGGAACTCGACACTGGAGAGCCTAGCCGCCGGCGTGCCGATGCTGAGCTGGCCCTTCTTCGCGGAGCAGCAGACGAACTGCCGGTACAAGAGGACGGAGTGGGGCATCGGGATGGAGATCGGCGGTAACGCGCGGCGAGGGGAGGTGGCGGCGATGATACGGGAGGCCATGGAGGGGAAGAAGGGGCGTGAGATACGGCGGCGTGCACAAGAGTGGAAAGAGAAGGCTGTACGAGTGACGCTGCCAGGTGGGCCCGGGGACACCAACCTTGACCGAGTCATCCACGACGTGTTGCTGTCGTGTAAGGATAAAATTAGCAGGGTGAATGGTGAGAGTGTATGACTTGTTAGATCGCAGATCAATATTATAATATTCAACCTACTAACCAAGTAGCCATGTCATGTGGTTTATTTAGTCTTAATAAGAGCATCTAATTCGAATATAAAATTCTTCTTGCGTTTTGCATTGAGTACACATGGATATATTCCGACGAAAAAAAATTTAGCTTATTATTGAATTTTTTTTAAATGTTGCACGATATTTCACTAGGTATATCGGAATTGTTTCACTAAGTAGATCGAAAATGTTTCACTCGTTTAAATCGGGCGTTGTTTCACCTTATATAAAAACAATGTTTCAGCAAATAGCGAAAGAATGTTTCAGTTCACTGCAACATCTGATTTATACATAGTGAAACATTATGTGCACACTAGGTGAAACATTTTTCGGTGGAACAAAAAAATAAACCAAATTCTCTTAATAGGGGATTTTCAAAATATGTGGGTTTTTTTGTTGCAATAGAATATTTTGTTCACTACAACATTAAATTTATACATAGTGAAATATTGTGAATACATTATGTGAAACATTTTTGATGGAACAAAAAATAAACCAAATCCTCTTAATAGAGAGTTTCCAAAATATGTGGGTTTTTTCTTGCAAAAGAATATTTTAATTCACTGCAACATTAGACCTATAAATAGTGAAACATTATAAGTATACTAGGTGAAACATTTTTTATGGGAAAATAGGAGGGGAAGTGGGCGGACCAGGTACGCACGTGGGGAGGAGTGCGCGGGGGGAGCGCCTGATCCGGCTCCCCCGCGCCGGTCGACCGGATACAAGTATTTTCGGACTAACTACTCTCTCCTATTATTTTATCAACTTCACCCCATGTGAGGGTTCATTTGTCAGCCCACGTCTCTTCGTGTCCTCACAAGGGACCACACGTCAGTGCACATTTTCTCACTAGAGACACAACGCACCTGTTTCGATTGTTATGATGCTAACACCAGGGCCAATTTGAGTACTAGATTGGTCTAGGTATCAGGTACCCGATACCTAGTACCAGGCCTGATACATATGGATATCAGACCGATCTAGATACCAAGTACTTGATACCTAGGTACCCGATATCAGTACTAAGTCTGGTACCTATGGGTATCACACCGATCTAGGTACCTGGTACCTACAGGTATCAGACCGATCTAGATACCAAGTACTTGATACCTAGGTACTCGATACCAGTACTGTAGACCCCCGATTTTGGAAATCGGAAATCTTCTGTGTTTATCCGTACCAATCCCTGGATCAGTAGTTGGTACACACATACATAGTTGGATCACAACATATCACGAATGAATTTAGGCTAAAAGAGTTAAATACTTACATTAGGGACAGGTAGGCCAACAACTATCAGAGAACAACAGCGGAAGACAAAATAATATAAGGGCCCGGTTAACATGCCACAGGCAGTCGACTGGGGAACGAGACCTAGAACAAGACCGCACTCCGATCATCTTGTGGGATACGCAAGCGTACCGACAAGGGCTTCTCTTCAACACTCTCCTAAAAGATATATAAATAGCAAGGGTGAGTACCAACCGTACTCAGCAAGCCACCACAACAACAATGCATATGATAGAGGGTATTTCAAAGAATGGCTTCAGGTTCTTTTGCATAAAGCTAATTTTACAATTCTTTTCACAAGCCTAAAACCTAGCATAGACTGATCAAATTTTAGTACCAGTGTTCACTTTAAACAACGACGATTCTGTCCACCATCCATTGTGATCCCAAGGATAGCTTCCCGCCATTGAATCGTCATGGTTTTCTGAGGATGTCCACCTTCCCTCCTCTCGGGAAGTGGCTCCATCAGCATAAAATTCATCATGCAATATCCCATCCCCCACAAGTTAAGAATTTAGAGTCTAGCCAAGTGTAATACATGTCCCGGTGCTCAATAACCGCGAGCACGACTATTCGAATAGATTTGGTTTACTCACACTGCAGTGGATGTACACTTTACCCGCACTCCGCGACTGCCCAACACATGAGCCTCCTCCCAACACATGAGACGCGTCACGGCAAAGCTTTTCGATAACCTCGCATTGGCAGTACCCGCTCCATGAACTTTTCATCCTCATGCACTCTAGGCGTACACGGTTTCTAGCAGTGAGAGGAGTTCTGGCGCACCCGGGAAGGGAAGACTCACACATGCATTAAGTTATAGTTATGTTTTAGATTCTCACATGGCAGTCCTACCAATGACGACACCACTGTAGACACCCGCCTCGCGGTTCTACCAATGGCTGCCCCACCGTAGAGCCCCTGCCTCACACATCAAGAAACCACTATGCATGGATACTGCCTCCGCTCAGCTATCTAATCCGCTAGGTCTATACCCATTCGAGAAGTACGGTTGTACGGGGGTCGTTTCATGCTTAACTTCATGGCTCGGTCCTTAATTGACCAGGGACGGCACTAGCCTTTTCCGGACACCACCCAAGTCCTCCAGCCGCCCCAGTCGAAAACAGTTGTTTTACTTTATTTTCCTTTCACAAATCATGTCATCAATATCATGGCAATGTGGCGCTCATGTCTCCACATGCCGCATCTCAATTACCTTCCCAAAGGTAATTGCCCAAGCATATAGCATTTGATAAATATGAGTATGCATGAATCTAAAATAGCATTTCTAAGCAAGTGTCATAGTTGACTAGGGACTCGTACGTATCTATGGTTACAAAGATTTAAAGGTGAACAATAATCAAGGCATGGTATAATCACAAGTAGGATGTTCATCATTGCATGCAATTTTATTGGTAAACAAAATAATTTCGCAATTGGGATCAACATGTTCAAAGAATAGTGATGACTTGCCTTGCTCAGGATAATCCTTATTATTGATATAATCTTGATCAACCTTCACCTCCTGGAAGTTGCAGACGTTGCCTCACGACTAACCGATACACAAGGTCTATAATACGCGAGAAAAACCAATATTCAAACAACAATCAAATATGCGCAACAAAATGTACTATTCGTGTTTGCTAATGGATCCCAATCATGCTAAGGCTAAAGTTTCTTAATCTTTCTATTGTCATCGTGGCCTATTTAGGAGTTAACCTACATAGCATTTATGGGATACATATATATTTGGCTAATCAGTGGTTTAGTCTATCAAGTGGCTATGGAAGGATTATGGCTAAGCATGCATCTATCTACATAGGACGGTTATTTACTAGAGGTTCTGTTGTTAGATGGATTTAGGATCAATCAAATAGTTATAGTGAATCATTTGTATTATTATTTTATTGATGGAAGCTTTACTTTAATTATGAACATATTTTACTTGTCACAATAAATTATAAAAGGTTAATAATTATCCATGCTTTGTATGTTAGAGTTGTTCAGGTTAATCATATTATGGGTACAGATTATCCCATCACATAATTTTACAATGAATAATCCTAATTTACAGTTGAACTATAATTATAATTATATGAGGTCAAGATTTATAACTAGTATTTATCTAATATACATGTTTGTCATACTCTCCCTCTTAATTTAATTTATGCAACACGCAAATTAATACTATACCGTACCACTATAATGGGATGTATAGTATATGTGTAAGCAACAATATCTTATTATTGGATCATATATTTGAGTAGTTGCTTTTTACTGTAAGCTATACAATACATGTTAAAGATAATTATGCTACTGTACAATATCCATTTTTATTCATTGGCACACTATTTAGGTTAACTATTATCTAATCATTTGATATTAATTAATTTATAATTATAAATATATTTTGTTAAATAGTGAATTATATATCATTGGAAAGCTTATGAATTTAGATAAATTTAGGTTCAAGTTTCACTTAAATCCGAGTAAAAGTCGAATGCGAAAGTCGATTCCTTTTTATTAACTTTACTATCTGCGAACTACGGCAAACCCAATTTCGATTTAAACTATTTTGCGGGTATAAATATTTTGTTGTCATAAGTTTTTAATTTACTCATCCCGAGCATTATATCCATATAACAGGTTAGAAATTTCTATTACGAGCTAAATATCGGACGAAATCTTAGAAATATTATACAATTTAATTTAGTCTATGACTAAACGATTGAATATAATACACGGCTAAGATTCCTAGTAATTGAATCCGAATTTCTACCATGAACCGATGACTTATAGAGATTACCAAAAATAATCTATAATAATCTATAAGAATTCATCTAATTGTTTGGTTATTAATTATATCTAAATTACTACCAATTTTAATCTAATCTGATCAAGAAACATATATTTATAATTAACTCGGAATTTCGATCGAAATACCATTACGCTCGAGGAATTTCCAAAAATAATCTATTATTAACCCCGACCATTTTTATTTCCTAAATCCTCCTAATTTCTCCCCCAATTTCCCTTCTATTTTCTCCTTTCCTTCTTTTTCTCTCTTTTCTCTCCCTCTCTTTCTTTTCTTTTCTTTTCTCTTTTCCCTTTTCCTTTCTTTTTCTTTCTCTCCCTTTTTCCTTTCTTCTCTCTTTCTCTCTCTGTCGGCCTCTCTTTTCCTCTTCCTTTCTTTCTCTCTCTTTTCTTTTCTTTTCTCTCTTCCTACTCCCGGCTCCTTCCTCCCTCTCTCTCTCGGCTCCTTCCCACCCGGGCGGCGACGGCGACGGAACGAGGGAAGGGACGGCGGCTTACCGGCGACGGCGACGGCGGCACGACGTCGGCGCACGGCGCGGCGGCACGAAGGCGGCGGTGCGGCGGCGCGAGGGCGGCGCGACGACGGCGCACGGCGCGGCGGCACGAAGGCGGCGGCGCGGCGCGGTGGAGGGGACGAAGAGGGGAAGGAGGAGAGGAAGAGGGGAATGGGTGGGGATGGTGTGGGGTGAAAGGGGGGGTGGCCGGGGGGTTTTATAGGGCGCGGGGGAGGGGTGGCCGGCCCTAATGGCGACGCGACGGCGCGGCGCGTGGGGCTCGAGGCGGCGAGCGGCGTGACAGGCGGGGCGACGCGACGCGCGCGGCGGCACGGGGCTCGGCGCGATGGGACGGGCGCGCGGCGGCTCGGGGCGCGAGGCCGACGGCGACAGGCGAGCAGCGCGGCAGCGACGGGTCGCGGGGCTCGAGGGTGCGGCAGCGCGACGACGATGGCGCGCGGCGCGCGGTGAC